TCAGTCTGCAGAGACTTTGCTCAGCCTCAGGTTCCAAGCCGCCCTGAGCTTGCTCACCATTTTCACCGTCACCGCCGGTCCTCTGAGTCCTCGGGCACAGCTGGCGGCCAAACTCCTGCTGACCTTTTGAAGGTCCTCGCCTTTGTAGCACCAAGTGAGTCTCGGGTTGATGTGGCGGCAAAGCAAAACCGTGTGCAAAAGCAGATGCAGCTTGGGTAAAGGGCTGAAAAGCTTGAGGCCTTCGGCCTCGAAGTGTGCCCCCAACTCCATATGAAGATTGCACATAGCGAAGGCATATTCGATGAAGTTGGTCGCCTGGGGCTCCGGGAAAGCAGTCTCGGCTCGGCACTCCTTCATGATCTTCTCCATGGCGATGTTCAGTCGCAAGTACGTCCTGATCTTGCAGTGCACAGCAAGATCAGGATGCATGTGCTCCTCCCAAAGTTCCAACAGGGGCTCGCCAAAAGCAGCAATCTGGCCCGCCCTGCCTTTCAGCTTGGGGCATTTTTTTTTCCTCTGGAACATTGTCAGCTTGCGGAAGCCTCTATACCTCTCGGAGATTCCCAGTCTCTTGTACGAGGTAACGATTTTGTCCCAGCATTGTCCCAGATTTGTTAGTGGTGAGTCTGCCATGAGGTGACTCACCAACAAATCAAGGACCGACCCGAAGCTGATCTGGTCTGCCCCCAAATACTTGCAGTGCATGTAATCGTAGTGCACGTTCAATGGGGTGAGACCAGTGGCATTGGAGAAGATGGCACTCGATGATCGCTCCGGGTATGCCAACCATGATTCCCTTGTCCATCCCAACGTGAGCCACCGAGCACTTGTTCGGCAATCATGCCAGCTCGAATCGGAATTGTCGCCTCTGCACCTGCAAAGGGCACATGGGGATGATTTCGATCCGTAATGGGGCAACTGCAGCTTTTGCACCAAATATTCGGCATCGCCATTCAAACTCCAGATGATGCCTCGCAGTCCATTCGCCAGCGGCGTCCCGGCTCGACGGGCTTCCACGGTACCGGCGGGATACCTCGAAGGTTTTTTCTCTGGGACTTTAGGACTGCCTGGCGACAGTCGTTGCTGGTTGTTTGTCTTTAAAAGAATAGGAGTGACCTCCGAAAAGAAAAGTCAATGAAACTATGTAAGGGCCCTATTTTGCCTTCACATGTTCTGGGGTAGTAGGGTCTGCAACTTGGGAATGCAACCAAAATTGATTCCACGAATTCTATCTGCAAACAAGATTTATCACAGAGCTTCACCCCTCAATCCTTGAAGACTTAGGATACACGTTATATAATGTGTATAGACAGAAACCAAAACGGACAGCAAAAGCTTGAATGAGTGGACTTGCACAGTTGCTTTGCACCCAAGTGGTTGGCTGCTGGCCAGACTCCACTGGCAAGGCAGGCAAACGACCAACAGATGATTCGGAAAAATTCATCTGTCGTTTCTCTTCCAGCCTCGGTCTCATCGAAGCAAAACCACGATGGCATCATACTGTCCTTTGTCCACCCCTCCGCCAGCAGGCTGTTCCACGTGTAGGAGGTCAGCTGCCTGCTCCAGATTTTCCCTATCCCCACCACAGGGGTGCCGTCCCCGTGTAGCTGTAAAGGCAGGGTATGCTCGGCATCGAAGGACCTCTTGCTGACGATCGGGTGGTTTCGCCAAGCGGGGTGACCCGCCTTCTGAAGGCGCCAGAATTCCTTAAGTTTCGAAATACCTCCAGAAGGCATCATGAACTTTGCAAAGGCGGCTGGGTAAGAGTGGTAGAGATCAGAAAATACCACATGTGGAAGAAGCATCGTCTGAAGCAGTTTGTCCCAGGGTGGCTTGAAGCTCCTGGCTGGAAGATAGGGAAACCCTGGCAGGAATTATAATTTGGATTTCTTTCTCAGGGCTTAGAGATACTATACCCAGCAAACTACAAAAACAAAAGGTTATAAGTATCCCTGAGGTGCATTTTGACAGCGAAGGGCTTCGAAAAAGCATTGTTCTTGTTTGCGATTTTCAGAATCTCCTTGTGCATATTATTCGGATACAGACCAGCAGATCCCAAGCCAGCTAAAGCAGCGATTTCGCTGGGCGGCGTCGCTCCGACAGCTTGAAAGTCCCTTTGGGAGGCAGCTGCCAGCTTTTGGACCACCTGAGGGCTCACTTCGCCCCACGACCATCGCTCCAACAGCTCATGTGCCAGATTGCTCGCAACAGGAGCTGCATCATTTCTGGCTTCAACTCTTTGGAGCCTCTGCTGCACTCCACCTCGCCTCAACCGCTTTGGAGGGGGCTCCTCTTCCATTCCGGCACCGCATAGATTCTACCGAGACTTCGTGTGGCTTAGAAATATATAATGGCATGTTGTTTTCACGGCCTGCCCTAGGTAACATGTGCTCTAGGTAGCATGTGGTATCAAGGAAATCTAGGTAACATGTGCTTTAGGTAACATCTGGCATCGAAGAAATCTAGGTAACATATGCTTTAGGTAACATGTGACATCGAAGAAATCTAGGCAACATGCGGTATGGCATCAATCAAAATTAGGTAGCATGTGCTCTAAGTAGCTGTATGGCACCAGAATCCAAACACTAGATCTTTCCTGTGACATGTGTTGCATAATAGATCAACTTTAAGTAACATGTGTCAGCACATATTTAATCATGTGTGCCATCTAAGTAACATTGGGACAGCAGTGTTCTATTCTCTTGCCACAAGCGAAGCTGCGACGACGGCATACAAAAAGGTTTTGTGATTATCGACATCAACACACAACTCGATGGGTCATTTTCTGAGGCACCACACAGAATTGTGTGTTGGGCTTCAGCGGGCTTAGACTGGGACTTTGATGCGGGGGGCATACTAAAAGGTTGTGTGACTAGGACCACCGAGCAAACCTCAACCGAATGTATGCACACAATGTTACTTAGAATTCTGAGTTGACCTTCAGCTGGGTTTGAGTGGGACTCTGATGCCGGGGGCATACTAAAAGGTTTTGTGAGTAGCAACACCAAGCAAACCTCAACAACAAGTTTTATGCATGCACAGCATGTTACTTAGATTATGTGTTGGGCTTCAGCGGGGTTTGACTGGGACTTTGATGCCGGGGGCATACACAGAGGTTTTCACTTTAGGAATACGAAGCATACCTCAACAACAATTTTTATGCATGCTCACAATGTTACTTAGAATTATGTGTTGGGCTTCAGCAAATTTTGACTGGGACTTTCATGCCGGGGGCATACACAGAGGTTTTCACTTTAGGAACACGAAGCATACCTCAACAACAATTTTTATGCATGCTCACAATGTTACTTAGAATTATGTGTTGGGCTTCAGCAAATTTTGACTGGGACTTTGATGCCGGGGGCATACACACAGGTTTTGACTCTACGAGCACGAAGCATACCTCAACAACAATTTTTATGCATGCACACACAATGTTACTTAGAATAAAGTGTTGGGCTTCAGCAAATGTTGATTGGGACTTTCATGCCGGGGGCATACACAGAGGTTTTGACTCTAAGAGCACGAAGCATACCTCAACAACAATTTTTATGCATGCTCACAATGTTACTTAGAATTATGTGTTGGGCTTCAGCAAATTTTCACTGGGACTTTGATGCCGGGGGCATACACACAGGTTTTGACTCTACGAGCACGAAGCATACCTCAACAACAATTTTTATGCATGCACACACAATGTTACTTAGAATAAAGTGTTGGGCTTCAGCAAATGTTGATTGGGACTTTCATGCCGGGGGCATACACAGAGGTTTTGACTCTAAGAGCACGAAGCATACCTCAACAACAATTTTTATGCATGCCGACACAATGTTACTTAGAATCAAGTGTTGGGCTCCAGCGGGGTTTCGCTGGGACTGTCAGGCCGGGGGGGCATAGACAGAGGTTTTGACTCTAGGAACACAAATAAAACCTCAACCACATTTTTTATGTATGCACACTGAAACCCTGAGCGCTCAGAAACCCCAACCAACATAACACTGCTGAGCAGCAACCCAGCAGCATACATTGTTTTCGGATCTTGCTGCCAATGGTGCAACCAGGTGAAGCGGCACATGTTTCACAGAGCCCACAAAACTTGGACCCCCCGCAACACGATGTTCTCGGAAATTCGGACTCCAGTTTGTGCTGTTCATATGACAAGAGGGCCTGTGGGCGAGAACATCAGCTGCAAATAACAAGCCTCGTGCTATGCCACTATGAAACGTTGCACACACCACACCCCCGGAACTCGAGGCTTCTATACCCCAGGCTGCCCGGCAGCTTCTGAGGATGCTAAGAAAACTATCGCAGCAGAGCTCCAATGCCAGGGCCACAGAGCAAACCCTTCGATCCCAAAATGGTATCATAAACTGTCATAAACCATACCCCTCTAGAACATCCACAAACGGGCACCCCGAACCTCCAATGTGAAACCCTCTATGTTATTAACATCTTAGTGAACCCGAAAACCGTGGCATCTATAGCAAAGGATTTGCTGCAACAGAAGCAAAACTACAGACATGGCTACGTGTCTCGCCGACAACATGTCTTCATGGCCAGGGTGCCAATGCTGAACAACAACATTGTTACTTAGTTGCTAGAAAACAATTGATAACCGGAATGAAACCTAGTACCGAGTATGTTACTTAGCACGTTTCTCTTCATATCAAAATGCACATGATGAGCAAGACTCGGGATGGAATCACAGCTCCTTCCTTGCTTTCAAAAGGGCTTTGAATTTCTCGCGCTCCTCGTTCAAGGAAACCGCCGTTTCGGAATGCTCACACATGTAGTCCTTGAAGGTTGCAGCGGTGAGGGGCCGCTCTGAGTCTGGGAACTCTTTCCATAGCAACAGGTGGTCGTCCCTGTCCATCCATGATTTCATAGCAAGCATGTGCGGCTTGAAGCTCTCCTTGTCCTTCGCTTGCGAGCATTTTGAAATCATCCTCATAGCAGCACTATGAAGCCGCTCCATCGCTCCTTTGGCCTCCTCCAGCAAAGCTTGCTGGGACTCCGTGAACTGCTTGAGGACGGGGGGCTCCTTCGAGCTTGCTGCCTCTGCTGCGATAGCCTGGCGGGGCTGGTCATCTTGATCAAACGAAAAGGTCATGGCTCGGAAGGCCTTGTCGAGGGCCTGAAAGGTCTCGTCGGTGATCTCCTTGGCACCACTCTTCGCTTGGTGCTTGTCCTCCACCGTCTTGCCAATCCCGGCAACGGTTTGCCGATAGCCCGCGAACTCTACCCCATCCTGCAGCCACACCATCACCGTGCCCCTTGCAATGGAAGCATCCAAAGCCTTTTCATCGCCATGGTAGTCCCGGTGCAAAACCACATCCTTTGGTGCCCCCATGGTTTCATCTCGACCAAACTTCTGATGCTTGGCCTGCTTCGTGGTCTCGAACACGGGCTTGTCCGATTTCATGATCAGCTTGCCTTTGTCGTTCTTGTCGAACAGCTCGTTGATCAGCTCCGTCTTGGCAGCACGGGTCTTCGCTTTGCTCAGAACCTCCTGAATGTGTTCCGGGATTGCACCGGCATCGGACATTCTCTTGAATTTCCTGGCCTTGGCGAGGTCCCTCTTTTCGCCGCCCTGGTTGTCCTCCTCGTCGCCGTCCTGCTCCTCTGCCTCGGGCTCCTCCTTAGGCTTCTCCTGGGCCTCGGCTTTGTCCTCGGCTGCAAGCTTCCACTGCAAAGCCTTGTCAGCGAAGCTTTCCTGTCTGGTCACGTTCTTGTTGTTGTTGTCCCCCTCCTTGAGCTGCTTCCCCGGCTTAGTTTTCTTGGCCTTCGGCTGGGGGGTAGCTTTGGCTGTGCTCTTGGCCTTGGGTGTTTTTGCTGGGGGCTTGCTCTCGCCTTTTGCTTTTGCTTTGGCCTTTCCCTTCGCCTTTGCTTTGGGGGAGGTCTGCGGCTTGCTCGGCTTGCTCTTGCTCTTGGGCTTGGCTGGGCTCTTTGGCTTGGGGCTCTTCTGCTCCTCCTTCTCCTGTGCCTCCTGCTCCTGTTCTGGGGCGGCCTCTGCTTCCGTCAACGGTTCGCCGTCGAGGTCAAGCTGAGCTCCCTTTCTCTTCAGGGAACCACTACCCTTAACAGCCATGGCTGGATCAGTCTTCTCGGAAAGTCTTCTTCTCATCATGCATGAAAATCTGGTGTTTTAGCATGTCACGACATGTGCCCGGGACTTCATACTCCCAATCACCACTAGCCTTTTTGAATTCGAGCACGGATCGGGGTGCAGATTTCTCAACGACCACAACGGGTGGAACTAGACAACAGCAGTACATGTTACATACACAGCTCTCTAAGTAACATGTTACCTAGGTTTGCCTGCACACTGTTACTTAAGACTAAGTTTCCTCGTGCACTGTTACTTAGAAACATTAGAGACCATGTTGCCTCTTGTCGGGCCATCAGCAAGCTGCCTATGTTGACAGCATCATGTTACCTAGTTTTACATTCAGCACCATAGCTCCAAAGCCGAAGCAAGATTTCAACTAGTTATGGTTTTAGCACGATATTCGACATTATTGGAAAACTCTGATGCACAGTTCTCTTTTCCAGGCGAAAGTCCTCGGTTCGGTTTCGAAACACCCAGAAAGCACAGGCCGGAAGCCAAACGAATCAAGGGCAGCAGGAAGAAAACAGCACAGAAAAAGCTCCAGGGACAGCAAACTGACACAAAAGTGACACAAAAGTGACACAAAACTGACACAAAAGTGACACAAAACTGACACAAAAGTGACACTAAAGTGACACTAAAGTAACACCAAAGTAACAATCCCACAGCAAAAGTAACACTAAAGTGACAATTCCATGGGCTAGTTTTACCAAACTAACAATAATGTATATCGGTTTTGTTAGTTTTGTGTTAGTTTTGCCTTGAACTGACACTTTAGTGTCAGTTTAGTGTCAGTTTAGTGTCAGTTTAGTGTCAGTTTACTGTCACTTTTGTGTCAGTTTTGTGTCACTTTTGTGTCACTTTTGTGTCACTTTTGTGTCACTTTTGTGTCACTTTTGTGTCGGTTTGGTGTTTTCGGGATATGATGTCGTCGGTTTCCGTCTGGATTTTTTTTTTTTCTTAATTTTTGTGCTGGTTCGGCTCGTCTTGGGCTTGGGTTTTGCTGCTTTGGTCTGTGCCTGCCGGCGGTTTTCATGCTTTCTAGGCCCCAAACCCTAGGCCCTAAACCCTAGGGGGGCCCAAGGTTGCTTACGCTCTTCGATGCCCTAAACCCTAGTGGGGGCGGAGTGGGGCTTGTGTCAATGTTACTCAGCAGCTCGTGGCCCTAATGGGGGGAGGTGGCTTCTGTCAATGATACTTAGCAGCTCGCGGCGCTTTTTTTTGGGGGGGCGGGGGTGGGGTGGCATGTGTGAATGTTACTTAGCAGCTCCTGACCCTACCCGACAATGTCTTTCAATGTTACTTAGCAGCTCGTGGCCCTAATGGGGGGAGGTGGCTTCTGTCAATGATACTTAGCAGCTCGCGGCGCTTTTTTTTGGGGGGGCGGGGGGGGGGTGGCATGTGTGAATGTTACTTAGCAGCTCCTGACCCTACCCGACAATGTCTTTCAATGTTACTTAGCAGCTCGTGACCCTATCTGACAATGTTACTTAGCATCTACTGCTTTGTGCTTATGATTGTAGTCCAGGGTGCAGAGTGCGGTTGCTGGCTTAGGTTTTGGGGGATGGGTTTCAGGGTTTCGCTTTAAAGGCAAGCAGAGCCTGAACACATGTGTTTTCGAATACGACTGTGAAAGTGGCTTCGTAACTTAAACAAACAGAAATATTCCAGAAGCCCAACAGAAACATGTTACGTAGCCGCTTCTGCTGAGGTCTTGGTGTCCATGTTACTTAGCGGCTCTTGCCTTTAGCTGGGGCTTTGTGTCCTCGATACATAGCAGGTCCGAAAAGATACATGTTACGTAGCCGCTTGGGTTGGGGGGGGGCTATTGCTGTCCATGTTACTTAGAGACGGAGTCAGGGTTTAGGGTTCAGGGTCTTGGGTTCGGTGTTCTCGATTTGGGTTTAGGCTTGAGGCTTCAGGGTTCAGGGTTTAGGGCAAAAGGATTTAGGCCGGAGGCTTTCAGGTTTCAAAACTTTATAGAAAAACCCGACCCTGAAAGAACTCGCTGCCGCCTGTTTGCACCGACCGATCTCACTTCGGTGGCTGGGGCAAGCTTCGCCGCCGCTTCTCAGAAGGCACCGGCTCCTGAGCTGCGGCATTTTATTGTAGAACCCCGGGGCTGTCTTTATTCTCGAATCAGGCTGGCTTCCTGTCTAAAGCTGGGATGTGTTGCTGCCTGGAATCGAGAGTGCTGCTTGGCGGAGATCGCCGGCGAGGATCGCGAGGTCGAGTGAGCCTGCCAGTAAGGTTAGTACTTGGTCTTATAGAGGCCATGAGCAAACTCCCCAAGAACCTCTTTGCACTTTTGGATTTGTGGGACTCGTCACGATTTCCCAGCCACAACCCAATACCGGCCTGCTGATGGCCTCCACCTCCACAGACGGAGGCCTTTGCAGATCCTCCTCCTCCTCTTTCACCACCCTGGGCCTGGGACGATATTTCGAAAACACAGCAATGTTACTTAGAGGTGGCAGCAGGGCCCAGCGACAATGCTACTTAGAATGTTACTTAGAAACTGAGCAATGTTACTTAGAGGGGGCAGCAGCTCCTAGCGACAATGCTACTTAGAATGTTACTTACAAACTCGGCAATGTTACTTAGAGGGGGCAGCAGGGCCCAGCGACAATGCTACTTAGAATGTTACTTAGAAACGGAGCAATGTTACTTAGAGGGGGCAGCAGGACCTGGGACGAATGCTACCTAGAATGCTACTTAGAAACTCGGCAATGTTACTTAGAGGGGGCAGCAGGGCCCAGCGACAATGCTACTTAGAATGTTACTTAGAAACGGAGCAATGTTACTTAGAGGGGGCAGCAGGACCTGGGACGAATGCTACTTAGAAACTCGGCAATGTTACTTAGACGTGTGACCTAGAATGTTACTTAGCACAGGTCCTCGGAGCTATGTTGCGAGCGATGGCAATGTGACTTAGCAGGTCATCGACGAAGCAGCGGAACCGGTTACTTATACTTATAGATCCCTGGAAGCAAAAAGACCTGATGTGTGAAGCCCACCTCGGGCTGCTCGGTGCCGCCCCTGCACCATCCAGATCTGCTGGCGACACCGGCGAGTGGTCCCTCGGAAGCAGTCCATGAACTATTGCAAGGAAGTGTACACAACCCTAATCCTAAAACCAACTTTAAGACAGAAACAGCAAAACAAAAGATGGTTTCTTCTTGACAGGACTCGTAGGGATGATGGTCTTTGTCTCGCTGCCATCCTCCGGCTCCGTGGTGTCACCAGCATCCGTCCTGTTCTCGTCCACGTCCGCCCTCGCCGGAGCCGGCGCCTTCGCTGGAGCCTCTGCTCCTGAGGTCTCTGATTTTATTATTGGTAGGTGTATTTTAATAACCCAAAAGAAACATCTGTGCCCATGCTTATAGACGGAAAGAAAACCTGCTTTGAGCACAGCGGCTTCCATCTCCAGTTGCCACTGCCCGCCAGACAAACCCAGGAGGCAACTGGATAGGCGGCGGCACCAAAGGCGGAAAAACAGGTGCTGCTGGCGGAAATGCAGGTGCTGGCACTGGCGGAAAAGCAGGTGCTGCTGGCATTGGCGGAAAACCAGGAAAGGGCACTCCAAGCCCGGCCGCTCCAGGGCCCATTGTACCAGGCACCAAAGGCACTCCAAACCCGGCCGCTCCAGGGCCCATTGTACCAGGCATTAAAGGCACTCCAAGCCCGGCCGCTCCAGGGCCCATTGTACCAGGCAAGAAAGGCATTCCAAGGTTGGCCGCTCCAGGGCCCATTGCACCAGGCAAAGGCACTCCAGGCCGCATTGTACCAGGCAAAGGCACTCCAGGCCGCATTGTACCAGGCAAAGGCACTCCAGACCCCATTGCACCAGCAGAAAGCCTTCTCCACGGTGGCACTGCCTGCGGCATCTTCGGAGTGGACCCATCATCAAAGCCCGGTTCCTGCTGCTGCCGCCGCTGCTCTGCTGCTGCTGCCGGCGGTTGCTGCTGCTGCTGCGGCTCCTCCGGCACCTGCTGCTGCTGCGGCTGCTCTGCAGCTGCAGGCTGCCGCTGCTGCTGCGGCTGGTGTGCTGCAGCTGCTGCCGGCTGCTGTGCTGCCGGCACCTGCTGCTGCTGCGGCTGCTCTGCAGCTGCAGGCTGCCGCTGCTGCTGCGGCTGGTGTGCTGCAGCTGCAGCCGGCTGCTGTGCTGCCGGCACCTGCTGCTGCTGCGGCTGCTCTGCAGCTGCAGGCTGCCGCTGCTGCTGCGGCTGGTGTGCTGCTGCTGCTGCCGGCTGCTGTGCTGCTGCTGCTGCTTTTGCTTTGGGCTGTTGCCGCTGCTGTTTTCGCGACACTCTGTGTCCCTTGTAGCTAAGGGGCACCAGCTCCAAAGCTGTGTCCCTCGCTGCCGTGGTGTCGTAGTGTAGTACAGCGGCAGACAGGGTAGCTTCAGCTTTTGTCGGCAGCCATTGTATGTTTTGCGGACGTGGAGCCCCAGCCTTGTCCAGCCATTCCAACAGGCCAGCGGTTGTCGTCCACCATGGCAGCCCGCCCAGCCACAGACCAGTAGTGGTCATGGCTGGCTCTGTTTCTTCTGTTGTCTTGTCTGTGCTGTCTGTGCTGTGTTTGCTCTCTGCTGTGCTTGCTGTGTGCTGTGTGCTCTGTGCTGTGTGTGTGCACGTGTGTGTGTTGTGGCTGTGCCTCTAAGCTGTGCCGTCGTGCTGTGTGGCTGCTCACAGAGTGTCTGCTCTCAAGAGCTACTCTGTGGAGCCGGTCTGCCGGGGAGCACAATTTCACTCCCGCACTCTCTGCTGCATGCTGCATGTCCAGACTGGCATGTTACCTAGTTGCAAGGCGAGCAATGTTACTTAGAGGGGCAAGACATGTAGTCGGCCAATGTTACTTAGAGGGGGTGAAGGACTGCGACATTGCCAAAATGTTACCTAGAGGGGGAAGAGGCATGTTACCTAGTCTTGCTTTGGCTCTTGGTTTGATGGCGACAACATGTTGCCTAGTTGACCAATGTTACTTAGAGGGGGTCAAGGACTGCGGGATTGCCAATGTTACCTAGAGGGGGAAAAGGCATGTTACATAGTCTCTCGTTTCACGGTGAAAAACATGTTACCTTGTTTCCGGTGCTTTTGAAAAAACCACACACATTCTACCGGTACCTATAACGTCTCAGGCCCTTGTTCTTTCCCCATGCTTTGCCAAGGTTTCTTTTCAGTAGAAAACATCAGTCACTTCTGGGGTTTGGGGTCGCTGGTGAAAACCAAAACACATTCTATCGGTATTTAACGTCTCAGGCCCTAGTTTGTTTGTCCTAAGTTTGGCGGAAGTTTTTTTTTGGAGTAGAAAACATCAATCACTTCTGGGGTTTGGGGTCTTCTTGGACTGGCTTTTTTTCTCGTGCGAGGTCGCGGCCTGGCTATGTGGTCAATATAGAAAGCCCTAGTCCATCTGATCCAAGAACGGAATCGGCTCCCTTGTATCTGCTGCCAGCTTGGTCCTTTCGCCTTTCTCCATTCTTCGCAGCCGCATGCAGAACCAGCCTCAGGCTCCAGGAGCAGCACAACCGGCTGGCAGTAAGTTGCAGAATCAGTGATTCTGCAACTTACTGCCAGCCGTTTGGATCCAGGAGCAGCACAACCGGCTGGCAGTAAGTTGCAGAATCAGTGATTCTGCAACTTACTGCCAGCCGTTTGGATCCAGGAGCAGCACAACCGGCTGGCAGTAAGTTGCAGAATCAGTGATTCTGCAACTTACTGCCAGCCGTTTGGAATCAGCACTGGAACAGCCTGCCACCAAGCCAAGCCAAGAAGCAGCTTGGGCCGCCACAGCTTCATGCCTCCCACCATCTCCTTGTGCCCTTTGACAAGAGCTCGCAACCTGGCCGGGCACAAACTCGGATAGTGGCCATAATCTCTGGATGCGACCTGTTGCATCGCTTGGAATGCGATCCGACGAATACCTCGTTGCACTGGCCGCAGCAAAGGCTTGCACACAATGCCATAGATGGCTCTCGCTCACCGGTTTGCAGGCAAACTGGAACAATGCTTGTGACTTGAGAAAAAATATCTGTGGTCGATGGCAAAAACCTTCACTGCAACACTCGTGCTATTTAACCATGCATAGAGCCTCCGTACTAGAGGAACAAAAGGCACGGCTGAGCAAAGCTTCCTAGCAGGCCGCCACTCTTCCTGGATGCCATGCAGACATGCAGATGTGACTTAGCCTTCCAAAAAAAGCGCTGCCAAACAATGCTACTTAGACAGTCGAGAGCTGCAACAATGCCGACCTTATTTTGCTTTCGCTGGAACCTCGTCAGCCTTCGTGCCGCGAAAACTGTGCTGAGATCTAGGAGCCATGCTCAGTGATGATACCGGCATCTATCTTGGATGCAACCTCTGCCATGGCAGCTCTGGCCTTCTTCTTCGCAGTCTCCGGGGAGTCGCCCAACCTGAGCCTCAGTGTGTGCTCCTTGTGGTAGACAGCGGAGGTCTTTCGTTTCTTGAAACTGCACTTGTAACCGCCCTTCGCGGGCTTCGAAGCACTGGCGGGCTTGGCGGGCTTCGAAGCACTCGCGGCCTTCGAAGCACTCTCGTGCTTCTTCTTACTGTTGCCCACGGCCGCTGCCGGCTTCTTGAAAGACTTCTTGTTGTTCGCCACTCTGTGGAGGTGCGCCTGCTTCATGATGTCCAGATCTCCAGCATCCAAGCCATACGAGGCAGCTTCTGACACCAAAGGCTTCACCAGAGCCTCTGCCTTTGGGGCCACCTTCCTGACCGGCCTGCTAGAGCTGGAGGCAGCAGCTTGTGAAGCACCCTCCTCGCTGGAGCTGCTTCCCAAATCTCCAACCATCAAAGGCCTCCCGAACACCGTGGGGTCCTCAGCCGCCCTCGCAGAAGCTTTCGGACTGCAGATCTTCGCGGCTCCCCTCCAAATCTTGACGGGACTTCCAGGCCCCATCACCAGGCTAGCTTTCTTCAAGGGCCGTGGGCTGCTATCCTGCTTCGCCAAGATTCTTCCAAAAATGCCCTCGCTCCGCATCTCTGGAGGCCTATAAGGAACTATCTCCAGACCAGTCGCTTGGCCGCTGGAGCTTGCCCCAACCGTGTTCTCCTTCTCGGAGAACACATGAGACAACACCATGTCGATCCTTGCCTTTTCCGACTCCGTGGCTGTCCGCACTGCTCTCACGTACTCGTCCTGCTTCTTCAAACACCGGACTTGGCTTAGCAGGATGCGAATTCTGCTGTCGATCTGGTCCACGAAATCATCTGTAGCATAGTTCGTGCGGTTCACTTTCTTGGTTTTCTCCGTACCATCAACCACCAACCGCTTCAAACTCGTGCGAAGCTTCGCCGCAGGCAAGACGCAGTTCGGGGCTACCTGGAGGAAATCTACGAGGAGATAGGCTGCCTGAGCGATCCATGGAATACATACCGCCGTCTTCCAAGAGAAGGGAGCACCGGTGGGATGCTTCAGAATATTCCAAATATCCTTGTCTGGGGCATTGTCCACATGCTTCTTCAAAACCTTTTGCAGATCAATGACGCCTATCGTCGGATCCACTCTCACTCGGGTGGCTTCATACTTTGACTGCGCCATGCTGCAGCAGGGCTCTAGAAAATCTCTACATAGACATGAGTCGCATGAGTTTCAAACCCACATGTGCCCACACACAGTTTTCCTATTGTCTGCTCGCAAGATTCTTCTGGCACCATACCATACCTGTGCTTCTTGCTATGTTTTCAGCCTGCAATCCGCAACGGAACAACATTCAAGTCTGCCATGCTGCACACAAATCATAAAAACCTGACAGGGGACATGCTACTTAGATGTCGCAAATGTTACTTAGGTCTTGCAAAACATGCCAGCAATCCTGCACATGTTACCTAGGTTCTGGAAAAAAAACAAAGAGTTCCGCACAACAAATGCTACTTAGTTTGCCTGCTCCTGCTAACAAAAAACAAAATATCATAGTTTATTCTTTCAAATAACCTTTGGATCTCATAGTCTATTCTTTCAAATAACCTTTTCTCTTAGGTTATTTAAATAACCTATCTCCTGAGATATAGGTTATTCTATTCTGACTATTAGTCTATTTTTTGGGATATGGATAATAGTCAGGAAATAACCTAACCGAATCTAAGAGGTAATTCCCGCAGCACACTGCTCTGCAACGACGCCTACCGGTCCCTGATTTTCGAGTGAGAACGCACTTACCCGGAAGCTGAATAACCGCAATTCCGTCCCTGACCCATTGATCTACCTGAGACGCATCAACACGAACAACGGCCTCGTTGGAAACCTCTAAACTAGTCACCTCTTCCTGAGCAGATTCCTTCCAACAACCCAATTCGCGTCGCGCCTCAGCTAGACCAATAGTTCGCGTTTGAAGAAACTGATCTTCCACCGGATCTACAGTTCCAAGTGGGGTTTCAACTTGCAAAGCTCGAACAGAACAGCATAAGTCACTTCTTACCTGACACCTTTGAAGCGCATTCTCTAACCAGTCACATAAGCGCTCCTGATAGTAGAGTCGTTCTGCCCCTTGCACTAGGAGGTCCGAGGAAGAACCTTCATCGCAAAGCTCCTCCAACATAAAGCGTCGCAAACAGATTTCACTTTGGTGCCATTGCACCCACAAATCCCAGTCTGCTTCCCCCACAATCCAGCAAGGCAACTCAACATCCCAACCACCCAAGTCCTCAACAGACTCTCCGGTGGCGACTGCCCTAACTTGGGAAACCTCAGAATCCTCTAAATCTCCAACAGGAAAGCCTAGTTCCTTCAGACGCGCCCATTGTTCAGACGTAGTTCTTTTGTACCCGGCCGGTACGAACGCCGAAATAACCCATCTACTAGAGCCTTCCCATCCTTC